TAAAGAAAAGTATGACAGACCAATTGGCAAGTAATTTTAACTGGAAGGGTACAAAGGATAAGAGAGGTTTCAGTGGTAGTAATCTTAACTCTGCAATGATAGGTAAGTATGCTTTATTCAAGTGCTATATTGCAGATCAAAATATGAAAATTTAGCAATTTATTTGAATCTTTTTTTTTTTTTTTTTTTTGCTACTTTAGGTGCACTGTTGGATGTCCACAAAGATTCAACTGATGTTGTAATTGAAGCCGAAAAAGCCTTTAAAGAGTGGTTAAAATATGCTCCTAAACGGGCAGCAAACAAATCCTCAGCTCAGAACACACCTTCTCAGTTGAACCAGAGCCCACCTTGAGAAATTTCTACTGACGTTGCAATATTGATGATTGTAAGAATTTATGTTTTATAATAATTCACATTTTGGTGTGCATGCATTTTAATTGCCATTCTTAACCTGTGATACGTTTTCACTATGAAATATAATTAAGCTTGCTCCAAACTTTAAATAGATCATTTATTAGACAGATGATGGCAGCGAAAGCAAATGAAACAGCGCTAATATTTCACATACACCACGTAACTTTATTTATATTCCAATTTCTGCCATATATTTTGGAGAAGACACTTGCTTGCTGCAGGCAATACTAACTCTTAAACAAGTCACATTAGCTAACCTTCACACAGACAAAGGCAAACTTCGTAGTTCCCTTAACCTTGCTCTTCAGTTGAACGTGATCAGTAAATGCTTCCTTCAGATGTTTGTACTAGTATTACTTCACCTTGAAGAAAGTTCACTGAAATAAAGAGAGAAGGTTAGGAATTAGTTGAGAGGGCGGACACTTGTTGATACACTTTAATATCACAGTAATCAAGTGGGGATGAGGTGATACATACTTCAGTATTTGTACCAGGTTGAAACGTAGCCCCACGGAGAAGACGGGCGCTGAGCACCGAAATCTTGAAAGAGTGGGTAAGTTTCAACACCTGCAGTTCTTGTGAGCAAAACCTGTACAAACAGAGAAATAAGTTAGTCCAAATTCTGTGACTGTGTACAGTCCTTTGAAAACACTAGCTGTGGTTCACGCTTACCCTTCAGCCCAGGACTGCCACGAGTAGGGACTGAGAAGTCACGTAAAATGTATTTTAAAATGATTTCATTTCAAACCAGAATAATTTTGTTAATTGAATATTTTCACTGCTGTCTGCTTGCAGAGAGCTTGTTTGTTTACTCTTTTCTGATTTGCCCTTCTCCCAATTGGCCAACCTCAAAAACGTTTTAGATTGAGATACATTGTTAAAATCTGTTCGCATTTGAAAACTTTTTTTTTATAATGATAGTATCTGAAATATCAGGAGGCGGCTGTAGAGGACTCTTACAACCAGCCGCTATTTTGCACATGCATATTTTCCCCACTCGCCTCGCAACATTGGTGTGCATAGGTTGGCTTTGGCTTCAGCAAGCCGCCATCTTGATTAATTTCGTCGTTTGTTTACTCGAAGCTTCTCGCACAGCAGACCGAGCCGGTGAACGACTAATCAACCAAAAACAAGATTAATACTGTTTTTTAAGTTAATTCGAAGGTAAGGGGAAACAATAAACTAATAACGCAGTGATTTTCTTAAAAAGTACCTATGCTCACTTCAGTACATCGTTTTTTTGCGGAACTTTCTTCTTGGGCTTGTTTTGGCTGGGAGCATAGGTTATGGTTTCTATGGTACTATCGGCATTTCAAGCAAAGTTAATTGTTGAAAACATTTATGCCTATATTATAACCATAGAATCCTGCTCTGAACTTGTGAAAGCCCTTTCTCAATGTATACTTAAGCTCAACGCAGTCTTAACAGTTATTTAGTGTAAACCTTTCACAATGCTTTGGATGCAACTTTCAACATGCCTAAAACAGCAAGATATAGTTTGGCTTTGTACTTTAAAAGATTCCTGGATTGTTTTAATTAGACTTCTGTTTTGTTTTTCTGG